TTTGCGAGGTGCCGTGAAGCACCGATATTATGCAAACAATCCATTAATAGCCCGAACACAATGAAAACGACGAGCTACAAACCACAGCTGTCAAATTATTTTAACACGTACTCTTATGTAGATAATTATTTTGGGGACGACCGGGCTACGCGACGGCTGTGGTTGTGGCCAGATTAGATCTATTTCTATTTTTCTGGCGACAGATAAGGTTCTTCCTCTTCTTTTATGTCAAACTCATACAAATTCATGATGTCGCTGCCGCGTTCAAAGAAATCATGTCGCCCTCGACAAAGCGTTTAGATAATGAAGATGACAAATTGGAAGCTGTGGTCCGTAGCTCGTCGTTTTCAATGTGTTCAGAACTTAACGATTCAAGCCTTTAAGGCGAATATCGAGCAATCCATTCGTGAGCCAGAAAGCGTCACTAAGGTCTTGGAAAACTGGGTTAACAGAATGCGCTATCGCGAAGCTAGTCGAGGCAGCCACATGAAAATAAAAAATTAATAGGAATATTTGCTCTTTCGAATAAGCCAATAATAACAAGTAAGAAAGTCTAACAGGCTAACCTAATATTCGCGGTTTGCGTTTTGGTATGCACGCCTTGGATTTTTTTTGCGCCACCCGAAATTGGCTTGCGTGCGTTTGCATTTGATTTCATTGAGCGAAACGTCAAATCAAAATGTCACGCAGAACAAAAATTGGAAATTGAGTTAGCTTCATACGCACGCCGTTCAATTTCGGTTGGTCCCATACAAGTTGTATGTGCATAAGAAATTTTTGACAGTAAATTGGCGGCGTGCGTGAATATTAGGTTAGCCTGTAAAGGGATTTAAAAGAGTTTACTGTTGAAAATGTTTTTGAGGCGGGTTTCTATCTATTTCAATTAAATTGAAAAGATAAACTAAATATTAAAATATATGGGTACGAAACGAAATGTATTTGAAAACTCCTTTACTAAGAAATATTTTCAATGGCGCTGCTACCTATCTAATAAAGAACTGCAAATGTCAACATTTTCGGTAAAAATGTCTTTTTCAAAAATTGCATGCATTGCTATGTCATGTCAACTCAAACAAGGTGTTATGTCATGTCATTCCATCTCAAATATACTGTTTTAGCATGTCGTTGCTACTTAGCTAAGCTGTTGTTCGCTGTTGTGCTTCTGTAGCACATTTTTAATACTGTTTGATCCTGCCTTAGATGAAAATATATACAGGTTTTTAATTAGACAATTCTTTAATGCATTTTACTATAATAGGTGCTTAAAAAATTTACAAAATCTCTTCCCGTATATAAAATGTAATTAATATCCACCCGACCAGCGTACACGAGAATGCATCCGTTTTAGAAATTTTAGCAACACTTTCGCGTACAAAACTATTGAGAACGGGTTCTGAAAAATTATCGTAAAAGTATTACCTGTCGCTCAGTTTGTGGCAGCAGAGCTCTCGTTCTCGTCATACGTTTTCGAAAGTTTTTCCGAAGTGCTTTCGATAGTGAAACCGTATCTCAGACGGAAGTTATTTCGATCCGTTTTGTTATCGAGAAATTATTGAAAACGGCAATGTTTCCGATCTGTTCGATTATCGAGAAAGTAGCGAAAACGAAAGCTATTTCGATCCGTTCAGCCATCGGGAGTTAAAATTACTAGTTTACTATAATTAGTGCTGTTACATTCCAGTTTATTCCCATATAAAAAGAGTGATTTTAAAATGTTAAGAGTTCTTTTATATTTAACATAATAGAAAATTACAAGAGTTCAGTTTTCTGAAGTTTTAAAACAAAAATTAAGTTTATATAAACGTAAAACTTTGGCTTTTATGGAAGTAGCCTCGTTCGTATTAATGCAATTGCCTCGAATGGGTTTTTTGAATTGTGTTATTTGTGTGATAAGGATGGTTAGTTTACTAGTTTAAATTATTTATCCTGCAAAGGAGTTTCATGGTTCCTTAAATTGTTAAATTTGATTTATTGTACTAACACATTTTACGTTTTTAATGTTTTGAAAAATTCTTACAAAATGTTTACTAAAGCGATGTCTCCTTTTGTATACTTTTTCGAATATGTTTTCCGAGAAAAGTTGGGGAAAAATTATAAAACGAATGCATTCTCGATACAATCAACGAATATAAAAGCAGAACTACAAACTTCCATTTGAAATACGAAACTCTTAGGTGAGACGGAGCTCGAGGGTAAGAGAAACTATCGTAAAACTCGTAACATCCGCTAACATACGTTTCTTAGTCGGGTGGGTAATGCTGCGTATGTCGCATGTGTGGCATATGTTGCTTGTGATGACATGCATAGATTTGATGCATGATTTGGTGATGCATGATGTGACACATGTCGCTATGTTTTGTAGTTCAAGATTTGCAGGCCTTTACTATCTAAACAGTGAAAATTAAAATATTTCAATTGAATGAAAGCTGAAATTAGTCAAGAACGTAAACCTACCGGTACGTAAACCCGAGTCAGCTGACACGATCTGTCTTACCAGAGCGCCATGTAAATGAAAACTCAACACCGCAGAATTTTTCTGTAGTTGTAGCCCGCAGCGCAGAAATCTGCGGAATTTAGATTTTTCCGTGTCAGCTGATTTCTTCCTTCTATAGATGGTTGGCACTTCGTCAGTTTTGCAGATGATAAAAAAGTTATAAGTTCCTATTCAAAATACGTTTAAAATATTTGAAATTTACTATTGAATAAGGTTTAATGGTTGAAAACTAAGTAGTTTATATTAAGATACGATCTATAATAGCACGAAAAATTGTAGTTGAAAAGGTAAGTTTATGAAAAGGCAGTGATGAGTGGCAACACTGTAGTAACCAACACTGAGGGCTCCAGTAATCAACAAAATACAGACTGCGTTTAAGTATACGTTCTGCGTTCTTGACTAATTTCAGCTGAAATATTACATGATTGGTACCAAACGAAAAGTGTTTAAGAGAGCGTTACTGGAATTTTTTTTTAAGTTGCCACCTATCCAAAAGCCGAACTCAATGTTCGAAAGAATTTACAACATATTCTGCCTTAACCTGAGTTTCGCCCGAAATTTGTCAATCGCCCATAGTAAAACCATGGAAACCAAAAGTGAAAAGTGAACCGGTTCGGGGAAAATGAAATTCATGATAATAGGCGACATACACGGTGCGTCTGACTCGCGAGTCGGTTTGGATGTGTTTGTGAAAATAAATAGGTTTTTGCCACAACGGCAATTTAGGCGGTTTTGCAACTGGTCGATGAGCGGTTTTGCAAAAACATCGACGATATGTATATATGTACATACATACATATATAGAAACTTGAGTAGAAACTTAAGATATTTCACCCCTGAATAGCATTTGAAATCTGTACTCCATACACATACAAACTTTTAATTAATACGGAATTTAGCTAAAAATTTAAAATTTTCAAATATTTATTAAAATTTTACATACAACAACAACATTTTCTTTAGTTATTTTAAGACTTGACTAATGAATTTAAACAGTATACATACCTATGCTAGTTATCAAACGAAGCAACCAATCGCATTGCCAACGAGTTTTTTCCATTCATTGTCGATCGCCAGCCAACAACGAACTGGAGCACATAGTGAATGACATTTATAAAAGGCTGCTGATCACTATATGGTCCAAAACGCCATTGGCGATCGCAATCAAAAGCTGTACTGTGCCGTTTGTACCAGAAGTGCTGAGTAAATTGGAGTAGTAATGTCGACACTTTGAATTGAGTTAACCAAGCTGAACGGAATATTTGAATGCGAAAAACGTACGTTAAGCTCATGATTCAATAATTAATCGTGTTATTATTGAATCATGCGTTAAGCTGCCTGCGTCCATCTTACATATTCTCATTCAACAAATTGGGACAGCGCACATTGCCGCCAGACATGGAGTAGATATGCCGCCGCAGCACACGAATGTGCTTCTGCGACACCTCGAAATTGTGCACCAGTGTGTTCAGTTGTGTCTGCAGCTCGGCAATTAAGCTATCTCGCTCCTGAATTAAGCTCGTCGTTGAATTCTGACTACGACTCAGCTTCAATTCAAGTTCGAAGACGCGCTTCTGCAAATCTCTACGCTGCTTCTCCGTCTGCTCACGCTGACGCGCCAATGTCCGCTTGCTCGTATTCTGCACGCTATCCAATTGATCTTTCACTTTCTGCAGCTCCTCGACCAGTTTTTGCTTCTCATGCTTTAGTGCTGTATTGTAGTTCTTGAAAATTTTGAGATCACGCTCTGCCGCCTTCAAACGATTAATCGTCATCACTTTGCGGCGTGCCAATTCTTCCATTTTCATTTTCAACTGACTCGCCTCGACCTGCAGCGAACGCACTCGTTCTGTCAGCGCATTATTCTCTTTGTGCACCTTCTCGCACTTGGATTGCTCCTCGCGTACAATTTGCGGCAGGTGCGACACATCACGCAACTTGGAATCGATCTTGTGACGCAACTGATCGATGCCTGTGCTAATTTCCGTTTCGAGCTGATGATTATTCGAGTTGAGCTTCTCGATTTCTATTTGCTGCACTTGCATTATATGCTGCGCCTTGATGCAGCGAGTATGGTAATCCTGTAGGCAGTTCTGTTGCTGTTTAATTATGTTGCGGAATTGCATCTGTTCATTTTGCAGATTCACAATGGTCGAGTGCATCGCTTTTAGGTCGGCGCTCTTGCTCAGACTATGCGTTTTCTGATTGTTGTCCAAAACGTTTTTCAACACATTGTAGATGTCCTTGAGACCCGCCGCTTGGCCACGTGCATGGAATTTCTCCGTATCGTGTGTTATTGGGTGGTGTGGCGCTTCGTTCTCCTTGTTAAGCGATTTGCGCTTGGAATTACGTTTCTGTGGCATTTGACTATTTTGCAGTCGCAAGCTGGCATACTCGGATGCCGATGATAGTTTGCGTTTTCTGTGCGCAACTGCTGCTACGTCTTCCGCCTGCATAGTGTATTCATTTTCGATATTTTCATTCGATGTGGTACAATCGGGTGGCAGCATGGTCATGAAACTGCTGCCCCGATGAAATATTTGTGTGTACTTTCGCTTCAGCGAGAACTCCGAACCGGTGCTGCTGCTGCTGTCCGAATAGGCATCCGTTTCTTTTTTGCACTTGCGGTTGGCGACGAAGCGATCGTGTTTCCGCTGCATTTCATTCAATTCAAAATTGATTTTCATATATTTCTCCTCCAAATCTTTTGTTGTGTTATTATACTCTTTTAACTCTTTCTTGTACTTGGATAATTCAGCTTTCAATTTCGAAGCGACTTCACAATGCTTAGACTTTCGCTTACCAGTGGCATGGTATGATGATCTCAAATCGGGAGAATTGCTCACATCGCTCGTTGTGGCCTTAATAGCTTGCGAATTCTCTATCTGAATGGCATCTTCGGATTGCTCCTCCGACGGATCACTTTTGTAACTTAAACTTTGATAACTGGAATTCTTGGAATTGCAATGCAAGCTCTCTGAAGCGGTGGCCATGTCGCCGCCGGAGGCACATGTCGGTCGTGCTAACGTGAAATAGGCATGGGAACGCCGCTCTAGACATTCTCCTGGTTTCGCACTTAACTTTTGAGTAAACTCCAAATTTTCACTTTTTCGATCCATTTGTCGCCTTTCTGAAAGGGTTGACTTTCTACAAAGAGGCGCACAATATGGCTGTTACACTTACGCTTGTCTGTGCGAATTGCAATTTTTATTTAAAAATTGGGACTGTATTTACCAACAGAAAATTTTTCAAAACTCTTTCATTCAAAATCCAAAAAATTATTTGAAGCGACAACAAACTTGAATGATGTGATTAATATAAAATGATTGCTTATCTTTTGTTTTCAAGTATTTTTGGTCGAGGAGCAAAGAATGTGCTGACACATGTCTCTTCAGCTATTTATAATAATCGTGCCAATGTATTTGAAAAACGATCTTGCGCGTATTTCCAATGGACTGATGTTACGAAGTCCTGGCAAAAACGAGAAATTGGAAAATGGGTAGCGAGGAATTGCTTAGGCAGGAGTATGCTTTGGTTGATTTTGTAGACATGGAAGCCGCTTTCAACAGCATCAATGCAAGCGCCATAACGGGTGCCTTAGAAGATTTTGGTGTTGACTCTAATGGACATTCTGCGCTAAAATATTGCCGCGCTTAGAAAGTGGGCAGAGAGTAGGAGCCTGGGAACTGAGGCAATTCTCCTTTCAAGGACACATAGGCTACTCACAATCTCCCAGCTAATTTACAAAGCTGTGGAGATTCCTTTTTAAGAGAATGTTAAGTGGAGAAATACATTTTTACACGAATGGATCCAAGCTAGACAGCCGGGTTGGCAACTGAGTTTTTTCTACAGAATTAGGACTGGAATTATCCGTCCGAATTCCGGACTACTGCAGCAGTTATCAGGCAGAAGTTCTAGCTATAAAAGAGGTGACTGTGTACCTTAGTACACGGATAGCCAGGCGGTCATCAAATCAATAAACGCGGTAATGCTAAGATGAAAGGTTGCATAGAAATACCTGACAGCTCTAATTGATATTAGCACCCTCTTTAAGGGCAGCCTCAAATGGGCAATAGTCACAGCTGTCGCGGCGGAGTGGAAAAGCGCAACCATCACTGGTTCCCTACTGCTGCAGGGGGGCAAAGATGGGGCCTATCCCCTAGAGTTAGTTCCTATCCCCTAGAGTTAGTTTCTCTATGGTAGAAGGGCACCGATGAATTTCTGCATGCCATGGTTGATTCTTCAATCTTCAAGATCACTATAGTGTTTTTCCAGCCTGGAGTAGATTGGATACTTAATTGCAATGCCGTCGATCGAGCTGTAGTTAGAAGGAACGTAGCTACTACAATTCGCAGATGTCTCGGTGTAATCCTGCCAGCCGGAGTGATGCAAACGGCAGCGTGAACAAATTTATACAACTGAAGACCGCTGTACTCACGGGGGTCTACTTTCACCCCTATAAATTGTACGAAGACCACTTGTCCTGACAACGGGTACACAATCCCTAGTCTAGTCTGAATATCGGCCCTGCCAAAACAGCAGGCATTCAGCCTATAAAACTGGACGGAATGGGGATATAAATGAGTTCCAAAATTAAATGTACATATATCTATGCAGACTAGCTTTAATGGTGTGCTAAAGGCTGTCCGGAAAATCATGGGGGAGTAACCCCAATATCCTGCTGAGGATGAACACCGTGATAGCCAGGCCAATAAGAACATGTGGAGCAGTGTCGAAGTCCGGGAGAACTGCCTTCAACACAATGAGAGGTTCTTTGCTTACCAATCATCAGCGGGTGGCGTGCAACTGTAAAACGGGCGCCACGCGTACTTGTTCAACCGCAGTCTTGGAGGTCATACGTGGCCTGAAATCACGCCACATAAGCGTAGTACTGCACAACTTAGTTTAGGATCCTGCGGTAGTTACAGTTCTAACCTATTCATTAAGTATTGACACCGATATGAAGAGCGTGTGCCGGGCGTGTGGAGAAGCTCACAGCACAAACAACACAACCTCTTCACATGCCAACTTAAATCTACCGGCGTCCTAGGACTCCAGTTGTATGGCACTATCTATGGCAACTGGTGACAATTCCAGCAGAGTTGAACCTCATGACAGATTTATTGATAGATATGTATTAATATTGGGTATGCCCCGCGACCTAGTGATCTATTATGCCTTTTACTCTTCAAAACACTTCTTCTAAGCCGAGGTTGGGTTAGGTTAGAAGACTGCGCTTTCTGATGCCACAGAAATATGAACGACGACCATTACTTAGGAGATGAAATGCCGATGGACCGATTACGAATGCGCCTTGTTTTAATGCCCGATAGCTCCTCAGGGCTGGTCAGAAAGTATGAGCCCAAATGTATCCATCTTCACCTCGCGAAGGCTGGGCAGTGTTGAGGTCATTCCACTACAGAATCTTCCTGGCAGCTGCTACAGTAGGGGTCAGGCAATATTCCTAACTTTACAGGGTAAATTCCACTCACACAGTGACCTAACAGAACCCACACCGCTGAACACCGAACGTATATCAACTTTACCATTTAAATAATTGGAAACGCTTCGCGGAATTTACTGAAAGCACCTTCTCTGCCCTCCCTACACCAACCGACGTCCACCTAGGTGAACGTAAGTTCCGCAGGGTTGTCACTGCTGCTGCAGCTCGCTCCGTACCAGCAGGTCCTAGTCGATGAGCGTGACAACCCTTGTCAAGCCCATTCCGGAAATCCCCGTATCAGGGATCTCAACACGGAGATTCGGCAGCTTGTGAACGTACATACGCGGAAAAAGTGGGGAGATCATTTGAAGACTTGCCACTTCGCCTCTGGTGTGAGTAAGCTTTGGTCAACCGTGAGGTCACTGTCCAATCCAACAAAGCGCGACGACAGAGTCGAAATATCTTTCGGCGCCCACGCTTCACCGGACCCGGAGAGATGCGCGCGCTACTTTAGCCGGCGGTTTATACAGCATCCTCCAGTGGGCAGAGCCAAGCATCGCGTGACCAGAAGGTTGCAAAAACTGCCAATAACAAGTGCGCCTCTTGTTTTCACCAGCGGTGAAGTTCAGGTAGCCATCGGAAAGGCGAAAGCCTCCGAAGCCATGGGACCCGACGGAATATGCAATGTTGATGCTGAAAAATTTGGGTCATGCGGGAGTAGCGTACCTAACGAAGGTTCTCAATTTGTCAATGGCCATTCTCGTCATTACAGACATCTGGAAGATGGGAATAGTGGTCCCACCGCCCAAACCGGGAAAACCGGCCAACAAAGGAGAGTCTTATCTTCCGATAACCCTCCTTTCCCCGGCAGCGAAGACTCTAGAGGATTTGCTACTCCCGTATTTTACGAACCCCAGCGAAGCATCATCATGGTTTCCGTAAAGTGCACAGTACAACAGCACTTAACGCCCTTAAAGCTCAGATAACACGTGGCCTAAACCGCAATCGTCCGTGTGAGAGAACCACAGTTGATTCACCCACACAAACAAACAAGTATTTTCGAAAACAAAAAATCAGTGAGCAAAGTTTGATACTTCATTGGCAATCAATAAGAAAAAAATAATAAATTATAATAAAAAGAAAACCCATATAATATAAATTACCATAATTCCTTCTAAATTTTAAGTATTATCTATTAAAAAGGTTAGTCATCAAATTCTAAATAAAAATGACCAGTGAACAAGATCCAGAGAAGAATATATCATTGGAAAATTTAGATGAAGAAGAATATGAATATATTTACGGCACGGAAGATGGTAATTATTCCCAAAGTGAGACCACCCATATGGGTGAAGAGGCTGAAGAAGCGGCCGAAGATATATTCTCTTACCTTGGGGAGGCATCGGATGATCCAGAACAAAAACGTCGGTTCATGGAATATTTGAGCTTAATCAAAGAAATTGAATGTCAAAACCAAATGGTTGAAGATATAAAAGCTAAAATAATGGAACTTTGCGCAAAGCCTTGTAAAACAAAATGCGAAATGAAAGATATTAAACGGCTGCGAGTGTGTATGGAACAAGAGCTAATAAAGCTTCAATGTTTAATGACAAAAGCTATGGAACTACAAAACTTCGGTTCCAGACGTCGCTATCATGAAATACCGATTGCCACGACAATAGACGAGGATAATATGACATCATACGCCGGGTGCACTCATCCGCAAATTCAAAACAATTGGAAGCGTAACGAAAGCAGTGACGACGCGGATAAAGGCGTATGTCAGGAACAGAAGGACTCAAATGAGCAGAAAGCTTTGCGTGGCTTGTGTAAGGCATTAGGCAAGATGAAAATCTGTTGCCCTGAAGATAGAAAGCTCGTACAGGAAATTGCCTGTGCTTTATTGGGACATAAAAAGAAAAAGAATGCACAATCTTCGCCACCTTGTATGCCGTCATTGCCACCATGCCAAGGGCCATGTCCACCATTTGCTAAGACCCCGAAGAAAAGCAAGCCTCGGCTATGCTCCTCCGATTCAATGCCTGGTGCAGACTCGCTGGAACGACTCAAGCAGAAGATCACGTGCATGCAGTCATCTGTGGGTCAACTAAAGCAGGAAATTTATCGGCGTGAACGTCAAAAGCAGCAGCCCTGTTATGGAGTGACGGAAGAAAAAGAGGATATTTGTTCAGAGGAACCCGATCCCATTGGAGTTTGCTTAGGCAAACGTACTGCCAAAGCTGATGAAATGGCTAGGTTAAGAGAAAATTATCTACATTTGCTATCAGAGTTCTCGAAGAAGGATTGCCAATTAAAAGAGATGGAAAAAAGGTAATATTAATTCACATCTTATACTGTTTTATTTGGACTAAAATGTTTCCATGCAAACAGGCTCAAAGGATTTTGCGGAAGCTGTAACGACGGCAACGGCCGCGGTGAAGGACGCAGTGCCGACCAATCTGAGCTGATTGTGCTTCGGCAACGTGTCGCTGATATGAAAGAGGAGCAAATAGAGTTTAAGTGTCTTATGAAGGAACAGTCGCAGCAGTTAGAAGAATATCGCAACAAGTACCTCGTAGCACAACAAAAGGTGGAAGAACAAAGTGTAACGTTGGAGAAATTGAACATGAATAACAAGCGCATTGAAAAACAAATAAATACAGAAGTTAAAGAGATTCGCGCCAAGTTCCAAGAGAAACTCAACGAACTCCTACACTTCCCTAAGCTGCTGGAGAACGAGCAACTCAAGTTAGCACAAGCCTGCAAGGAAAAAGAAGACTTACAAGGCAAGCTAATGCTCGTATGCAAAGAACTCAAAGCGCTAAAGGCTCAAGTTGAGGCACCAAAGGACGATGTTGATTGTCGGCCGAAGTTGTTGAAATGTCAGATGGAGCTTGAGCAGTGTAAAACACGGCTCGAAGAAATGGAGAGACAACGCGATCTCTTCTGCGAACAGCTCAAGACTACGCAAGACGATTTCGACACATTACGTTCCGAGTCGGCCAAGATCATTGCCCGTACCAAGGAGCGTGCCGAAGCGACAAGGTGCCAAATGCAGGAACAAATTGATAGGCTCGAAAAGGAACTGGCACAATGTCGTGCCACTGCTTGTCTTTCGGTCAGCGATCGTGAAGCAGTTATTCGTGAGATGCAGGGCCAACTTAACACACTTTCGTACAGTTTCGATGCAGCGCAAAAGCAAATTAAAACGCTGCGTAATCATATTGCTTACGTTTCCAATGAAAATTGTTTTCCTGTGAAGTGCTGATTAACGAAGGCATTTCTTTTATGCGTAAATGAAAGATTGTAATTGGTATAGCTATGGCTTGTGCACGCAGTTGAATGCATGTTTATTGCTATATCTCGAAATTTGTGTGGAGAATGTCTCCAGCATTTAATGATGGTCGAAATTTAATTAACATCCAAAACTGTCAATTGAATAGACCGACCATCACTGTTCCCTTCTTAGCAGCTTATTAGTTTTATAAAGATTTTACTGCCAAGCGTTTCATTTTGGGCGCCTTTTTCTTGGCCTGACGTTTTTGTTCTTTTAATTCCCAGCGACGCTGTTTCTCGGGATCCTCTTCGGCAAGCACGCGTTCCTTTTCTTGCTTGCGCTTATCTTCGCGACGCTGCGCAGCAGCTTCTGCACGTGCTGCATGTGTACTCTTCAAGAACTCTTCCTCAACACGTAAGCGATTCTTTTCGGCTTTGTTTTTGCCCTGAAAATTACATATAAATTTTGGAAAGAAAACTTTTGTTTAATTTTTGAGTTTTACCTCCCTCGACATGCGATACACTTTTAGACGCTCCATTAAATAGAAGATTAGAATGAGCAAAGGTTTAATGGATTCCATATCTACACTCTTTGGCAAGTTAAATCCTGCCATAAGCATAGCTTTTGTCTCCGGTTGTTTCAAATTGTTGGCATCTTCTTGTTGGATTGGACCACTAAATTGATCAGAAATATGGATATAGTCGATGTAGCGCTGATATTTATTAAGCGCAGTTATTATACGCGCCTCTAACATTGCTGACGTTGCTTCAGGTATTTCTGACAGCACACTAAATCCTGCAGGTACTTTGTAGCGATCCTCTGGCTTACTGACTAGACTGCAATACTTGTTCTGTACGAAAGCGTAGAAAATGAAAATTATACACAAATTATTATTTTTATTTATAAAATAAAATATAAAAATACGCACCAAATCTGCGAACTCTTTGAAAACCTTGGTTATAGTTTTTCTCGAGCCCACACAAAATACAAACGAATCCATTACGCCTTTTGTCATTTCAACTTTTATATGTACTTGGTCTTGTTGAGGTCGTATCAGTCCAGACACCAAAGCGACTAAATCTTGACGTTTAATCATCTTTAGCTCCACAAGCATACCCTCGCAGCAAGTGCGACCAGAGCACCACAGAGTATATAAACTCTCGCTTTCTTTCATCAAACCAGGATTTTCGTTTTCTTGCTTGCCATCATCGCCTTAAGATAAAGGCATGGTAGTAATAGAATTATATAAATACTCTTTTTATATGCATTACACATACCAACTAGAACAAAGTTGTCGTCTAATAAACCCTTGTGCGTGCTGTACCACAATTGTGCAAGCCTTGCATTCTTTGTTTTCCCAGCGAAGAAATTAGCAAAGTACGCTAATAGGCCAGCCAACATAAGCATTTCCATCCAATATGAGTCCCAATGTGTACTAAAAGTAATTAGAAATAGGTAAAAAAAAAACATATCCAGTGGAATTACAGACAACTGCCTTACCGGAAATGCATTGGTATTTTTGCTACAGTCAATTTCGGTTCGGCGGTCTTTTGATCTACAGGCAAATCTTTACTTTCGCCTGCATCAAAGCCTTCGAATTCTTCTTCGTCTTGAAAGTGTTCAAATTCGTTGTCTTCATCCTCAACGATGCCGTCGTCATCATCAGTTTTGAAGTCATCTGACTTGCTAAGAACGTGCTCGCTCTTCACTTTCTCGGTTGCATATGCCTGCTGTGCGACTTTTGCATCTGCAGTTTGTGGTGCCGATGTGGTGCCTGCTTCAACGAAATCATCGTCGGTATCGAAGTCATCGAATTCAGCAAAGTCACTTTCTTCATCTTGAGCCAATACCGAGGTCATGCAACTTAGCACCAAACACCCAAGCGCCAGTATCGCAACCACTTGCCTTACCTGCATATCTAAAACGTGCCACTATCTTCACTCCTCCACTAATATTTATTTAATTATTAACATTAATTGAAATAATCGTATTGAGGTTAATTAAATGGGTTACGGAGGTAAGGAAAACCAAAAATACACTCACTCAACTACAAGCGTTGCCATACAGAACATACTTCAGATGGACATTCACATTAAAGCTGAAATTAGTCAAGAACGTAAACCTACCGGTACGTAAACCCGAGTCAGCTGACACGATCTGTCTAAAGCAGTGTTTGCATTATTCAACTTTGCGTTCAACAATTGCGTTCAACTCAACGCAGGGTTGCACGAAAAAAAAGTTGAATGGCTAAATGTTGGCTGGCGACCAACTTTGTTGAAAGCGATTAGTTGAAAGGCCATTCAACCAAAAGTTGAATGCAAAGTTGAACAATGCAAACACCTTTTTATGGCGAATATTTTGATATTTTTTCATATTTTGATATTTTTAGCCATTCAACTTTTTTTTCGTGCAACCCTGCGCTGAGTTGAACGCAAATGTTGAACGCAAAGTTGAACAATGCAAACACACTTTAACCAAAGCGCCATGTAAATGAAAACTCAACACCGCAGAATTTTTCTGTAGTTGTAGCCCGTAGCGCAGAAATCTGCGGAATTTAGATTTTTCCGTGTCAGCTGATTTCTCCTTCTTTAGATGGTTGCCACTTCGTCAGTTTTCCAGATGGTAAAAAGGTTATAAGTTCCTATTCAAAATATGTTTAAAATATTTGAAATTTACTATTGAATAAGGTTTTTGTTGAAAATTAAGTAGTTTATATTTAGGGCCTGTGCCAATCAGTAGAAAAGTTCTATGGTGGAAAACTTTTTACTATGGTGAGAAAATTTTACATTTCTGCTGTGCCAATTCGTAACTTTTTACTGCTGGAAATTTTTGACAGTTGCTTTCATGCAGAAGAAGGCTATCGGGTTAGCAAGTAATAGAATGCAGCAATTATAGAGAAAATATTTGCCTTTGCTGATTTCAGTTCTTCTGGTACTGAAATCCATATACTTATTATACCTTTTAGCAATAACCACTAATTTTTCTCTAATATCCACTCGCTTTGGTTGTCTGTAATTTATGTGTATACATGCGTTGTTCTGTATTCTTCGTCATATAAGCTTTGTTTCTTTACAGATAATTATCACTAGTTTTTGCTGGAAACAGTTTCTCAACCCAAAAAACTAGCGGCTTTCGTTCTTACACTCTTCTTTTTTTGCCTCTCCTGCTAATTTCTGCATGTAAAATTTTTACTAGCTGAATATAACAGCTGTCAAAATGAATAAATAGCCGTTGAAGCGTAAACAAGCGAGGTTAGGTTGCTTTATTTGTTTCTTTCTTCAAATTTTTGGGATTTTTTTAAATAAAAATTTGCGAATCATTAAATATTGATGGAATTGTAAAATGTATTTGTGAATAGTTTTTATATCGAAAACGCGATTGAAAAATTACGTCAAATATTTTCAAATGTCAAATACACCGATCAGTTAGTTACTTGCTATTTTCTGTTAGTTTCGTTTCTTAATTATTTCTTTATATCGCCCGTAATTCTATCAATGATCCCATTCCTCTTTTTCCTGATAATTATCGGCTAGAAAACTAAAGAAACAATGCTAATGCTCGCTGCCAAATTTTTCACTAGCCCTGCCGGATAAACAATTTTTATTCACCTCATAGCTGTCAAAAATTTACTATCCAGAGTACTTTTCTATTAATTGGCACAGGCCCTTAGCTAAAATCTATTATAGCACGAAAAACTGTAGTTGAAAGGGTAAGTTTATGAAAAGGCATTGATGAGTGGCAACAGTGTAGTAAGCAACACTGAGGGCTCCAGTAATCGACAAAATTCTGCGTATACAGACTGCGTTTAAGTATACGTTCTGCGTTCTCGACTAATTTTAGCTTAACAGCAGAGTATATTTCTACGGATGGTCAACAAATTTCATTAGGGTTGTTCCTGTGCGTGCGCACTTGCATTTGCATTTGTAAATCCACAACAATACAATGCACACGGTTGCCAAGACAGCAAGTATAAAAACCTTTGCAAATGCAATTCCAACCGAAAATCCAAGACCATTTCCACAACATCGTGAACAGCCCTGTAAGGAAACGTTACTAAAATATATAACACATAAAAATTTGTTGCAGTACAATTTTTAACCCATTCTATACCTTTCGTAATAATCGTTAAATCGAAGAAAAGACTATAACTGTGTCCTTTGCTACGGCTCAACAAACATTTAGGTTAGAAAACGATTAGAAAACGACCCGAATTCTAATGTTTTTCTCTAGGTAAGAAGCCGATTGGAGAAACTGTGGAAAATTATAGCATTCTCTACAAAAAGGCGACTTAGTTCTCAATATCGAGAAAGAGGTTAGATATCTAATCGTTTTCTAACGTTGAATTCTAATTGGTTTTTAATATATAGTGTTTTTCTAATCATTCTCTTATCGAATTCTAACATAGTTCTCTAACCTGAATTTCGATCCGAGAACTACATTAGAATCCGAATGTAAAATTAAAATATTTCTCTAACGTTAGAGGCTGTGTGGGCTGTGGAACGGTTGTATTTAAAGTGTATGCTACGGTTAGTAAATCCGGATGCAGTGATAGTATTTTCCGAGGTAAATTCATATAAGGTAGAGTTGTTGCATAAGCTGTGATTATCGTTTGATTGCCAACATTTTTATATTTCGCTAGTGAGTGAGTGAAAACCTGAGAGGGTTTGTATTTTCTGTCGCCCTTTTTCATTCGGGGAAGAATAGCTGAAATTTGCCAAAGGATCGCTAAAAGCAAAAACAAAATGCAAGTAACTTTTGCATTTGTTGAATCCATACCACCCAATATGAATTCGGCTTGGCATATTCGGAAATTTTCTACGATATACGAAAAATCGGCATACGGTCGTCTCAGTAATTGACCCTTAAATTTTCTGCCGCTGGCAACTTGACAAGGCAGTAAACAAAAAACATCTGTTCTCTGCTGTCAACTCAATTGTCACCCACACGTGTTATATTTCATTCGAAAATTTTCTCAATAAAAAATTAGCAATGGTTTGTTGTCGTGTATTATTAAAAAATTAAATAAATGTATAATTTCAATAACAAATTTCAGGGCAAACAAAAGAAAACTCGAAAAATACAAAAACAACGTACAGCGAAACTGAAGCGAT